AAACAATGGAGAAGGACAAGAGCAGTGTTATCTATAAAATAAATTGCAAGAACTGCTCAAAACACTATATCGGACAAACTGGGAAAAAACTGTCCACAAGGATCCGTGAACACCAAGCGGCAGTCAGGAGACATAACCCACTATCTTTGATTTTCCTCCACAAAGATCAAGAAGGACATCAATTTGACTTCGAATCAGTGAGAATTATCGACCAAGCCCGGTCAAAACACGCCAGGGAATTTCTCGAAGCTTGGCACTCCTCAATCAACTCAATCAACAGGCACATTGAACTGGATCACGTGTACACGCCAATGCAACTCAAGGATCAAATGACGCAACAAAAAAGGGTCACGGCGTGACCTGAGAACGGACCGAAACCGCAATCAGGACAGATGGACAAGCACCCCTCCCCCCCTACCAACCTCGCCCCCGCGCACCAGTTTAACGACGAACCCGGCGAACAGGCGAAATAGAATACAGTCTATTGAGTGACAAATATGCGCAGCCTCAGTAAGTAGATGTACAGGATAATATACTTGGAATCCAAGAACGTTGTCCAACAGAGCAGCCAACATTGCGCTTAGAAGCAACCAGCAATGAACAATGAACGCGGGTTGTGCATTGCGTTCAAAAAAGAGATCAGGAAATTTTATTCCATCTCTTGAATTAGCAGTAAACTCCATGGCAACGTCGCTGCAACTGATCGGAAAACTGAGCTAACAAAGGAGATAATGTTCAGATGAGTACATGGATATGCAATATATTACTTATCCATCTTCCCATCCATGTGACTGAATGAGATGATAAATGATCCCGGTGTGCAAAAAGCTGAGAATCTATCTATTTAGGATGAATAAAGCGATTTTTGACTTGACTTGATTTGTCATAGGTTATCAGTTTGTTACCCTGCTGTTCAAATACGGTAACAACGGCAATAAGGATGGATGCTTACTTAGTATTCATAGCTTCGCTTGAGTTCTATTTTGCCTAAGTTCGGTTAACGCGATGATACCTGAAGTTCACGTCTATAACTTCTATTAGAACAGCTAGTGGGAATTGTGGAAAATGTGGGCATTTGGTTCAAAGGAGTCGTTGTTCTTCTAGGGGACCTGTGCCTCAATNCTCAATGAACTTTACTCACTCGTTTTCTCAATGCTATCATGGGAATATTCAAGCTTTTAAGGACGCTCAAGGATCCCTGTGTGGTTAACGAACTGAACACGTTCCTAAAATTTTCCGCTCGCCATGCGGAAGCTAACACTCAAGTGGAATTTCTACATAATTGTGTGAATAACAATGAATACCCCACCCCAGTCGTTACTGGAAACAACTTCGCCGAGATCGCATCTATCCCAACAGCAAAACCCTCAGGAGACGTGTGTTGAGTGTTTGTGATTCTTTGAAATTTAAAACTGCGGAATTTGAACGGAACATTCTACAGCAGCAGCATTTTGTGGACGATTTACCGGAGAATGAACGATTGGAATTCGACAAATTCGTAAGTCAAATCTGTACGCGTCGCGTCCAGATCATTCCTGAACGTTTATTACTGGATTCCCATAAGGTTGCACAGATGTCCACTTTTCCCAATAAACCAGAGAGATTCGTGCATAATTTATCGGATGGGCAGCTATCTCCTATAGAAATAGAAGTCTTATCACTGGGATGGAAGTTTTGTTGTCCCCCGAAGACAGTTAACCGAATCGATTTGAAGGTGCAATTCGAAAGCCTGATGGGTTAAACAAGGGATTTGATATCTATTTCAGACGAGGATTTGGAAAGGTTTAAAAGTTTACTGGTGGCAAAGTGCTATAAGTACCGAAAGGTACACATACACAACCGCGGACCGCTTACACGTCAGCATATAAACGCAATGAGGGAACTCAGAAAGAACAAAGACATCATGCTGCTCAAACCAGATAAAGGCACCGGGGTGGATATTATAAAAAAATGATTATGTTCGAAAGCTCTCTGAAATAATTTCGGATGACAAAAAGTTCTCTAGATGCAGCAAAGAAAAGGATGAGATAGAAAAGGTGGAGGGTGAAATCACCGATCCTCTAAAGGCGATAAAGTTACAGGGGCACATAGACAATGCTGCGTACGAGAGACTGAAATCACGTGGGTCCACCATCCCTCGACTGTATGGTCTCCCGAAGATCCATAAAGAAGGAGTTCCAATAAGGCCTATTATGGCCATGGTAATTTCACCATATCACGCAGTGGGGCAGTGGTTGGTCGAATTATTAGAACCCATTCGTCGCAGACTCGCCACACACAGTCTCCGAGACAGTTTCCAGTTAGTAGGCAAAATAAAAGACCTG